TATAATTGAAGGTAAATCCGGTAAAAAGAAAGTGAAAACCATCTTTGAGGAAAAAATTATAGGTAAACAAAAGGAGGTGAAAAAGAAAAGTAGTGGTTTGAAAGATATTAAAAATATAGACGCACAAGAAGAAGTAAAACCTAAAAAGAATAAAGCTAAAAATGTGAAAAAGTTAAACTTTGAAGCTGCTTTGGAATCTGCAGATACTGTATTCGATGAATCAAAGAGGCGAAAAAAACATTTAGAGTCTCAAACTAAAGATAAACCGGAAGTAGAAAAGTCGAAAAAATCTTCGAAAGTTGAATCCGGCAAACATGATCTGCAAGATGATCTTCCTAATAAAGCAGAAAAGAGCAATCGCCTTTCTAAAGGCGCCTATGTGAAAGTAAAGAAAGATAGCAAAGTAGAGACAAATACTATTGAGAAAACAATGAAAGAAGATACTGAGAAAAGTAAATCCAAAATAAGTGAAACCGTTCTGGTTCTCGAAAATGAAAAACGAGACGAAGAAGAAGAACCAGAAAAGGAGGAAATATTAAACGAGATAAAACAAATGAAGACATCGGCACGCGCTTCTAAAAATGAACAGAAGAATCCAGAAGATGTTGTTGAAAATATTTATTTCACTCTAAGTAAACGCAAGAAGACAAGTAAGTTAGATGCAATCACTATAACGGATCCCAACATTTCTCAAACAGTTTCGCAGCAGCAAATCGCCTTGATGGCCAGTTCAGATTTGGAGTTGCTTCTAGAGATTTGGAGATTTGGAGTTGAAATTGTGACCAATACCGGTAGTGGAAGTCCGAAGCGGAGCTTGGACCGAAAAGACAAGAAACCGTTCACAGAATCAATTTCCATACCCCTGTTGACCGAGGTTCCAGAAGACGCAGCCTCCAATCTACCGAATGAGATTATCCAGAAGGACAAGTCTAAATTGCCTGTTAAGGAGGAATATCTTTTGAGTACTATGTCTACTCAGATGTGCAGCTCGTTAAGTGAACCACCACCTGACATGTTCGACTTCGGTAATCTACAGATGATTGTGTAGAAATTCCAGTAACTGGTAAACATTTGTTGAAAAATAATCTGCAAAAAAATAAACTAGTAGTATATGAACAAAATTTATCCAGTAAATATAGCAGCATACCTTTAATGCTTTCATTCCTTGGATTGGAATTCGATCACTTCCGGTTAAGATATAAGAATTTGAAATGAAATGAAACAGTTCTAAAACCCTTCCATCGCAGACTTTCATAAATCCTTTATATCTTTAACTGATTTATTTAACAGATAATCAACATATAGTTCGACGTACTCATATCTGAAAATTGAGGAAAGTTATGTACAGTAAAATATTGTTAATGAACATTTACTTATTTAGGTCACAGGTGTATCGCTTTCAGATTTCAATGGTATAGATCTCTCAACCCCGTATACGTCTCTGCTGATTTCAAATGTCAAACTCAACACTTCTTCCAAATCGTCTTCTTGGTAGACCAACAGCGATTGCAGCGAGTTGGCGATTGTTAGGGAAAGAGATTTGACGTCGAAAAGATTAACATGCTCTTTCAGTAGCTTCTTATAGAGGACCAATGGGAATGGAATATCAAAAATGGTGAAATTGTAAATGGCGAGTTCGCATATCAAGCCGATCAGGAATTACATCATTTCATCCTCGAAAGAATCTTCCAAGAACTATATGCTCGTTGTCTCTTCATATTCTTTGAACATTCCATACTTTGGATCCAGAATGTTTCGCAGAAGCAGCATGAATAATTCCGTCTTAGCTTGAGAATCAAATAAAATATATA